TTTTCCCGGCGGGGGGGTGCCCGTGCGGGTCCTCCTGCGGCGCCAGCCGTGCTGGCCTCCAGCCTCTGCTCACCCTGGTAGCTGGGCTGGTGCTGGAGGTGCAGGGTACCGTGCTGGGGCTCAAGGTTGTCCATCCCCGAGACCAGCAGTGACTCCAGGTGAGGCCACAGCGACTGCGACGGGTGCAAAGGTGCCCTGGCCAGCTTCGTATCAGCTGTGAAAATCTGCTTGCACACCTATCTCTGCTGCTTTTACTCGTTTCAACAGCAGGACAGTCTGGCTCTGGAGACCCTTTGCTTGGAGATGTCACTCGGAGGTGAGGTTTTCCCGGCTCCTCTCAGAGCCAAGGAGCCCCATGCACTATGCCAGGGAGTGAAGCAGGGCCACAGGGGAGGGCAAGGCCCCATGGGGTGACTGCTCATCTCACTGCTACCAGCATGGGCAGAGCCCAGGGAGGCTTTGGGTGGGAGGATGAGTCTGGGACTCATGCTGGAACATACACTTATTCACTTCGAAACAGCTAAGTGATATCCAGGCTTTACTATTTAAAGAAGAATCTCAGCAGCCTTTTTGTTGGCTTGCAACCTTACCTTCCTGTGAAACTCTATTGCCTCCTCCCTTTCCCCTCCCAGCTCCGTTTCTCCTCTTATTTTTTCCCATGTGTTTTCACGGGAAAAAGTAGAAAAGAAAATGAAAGAATGAAAGAAAAAAAGACATGGGAGATATGAACTCTGGGAGAGCGGTGGGGGGAAAGGGGTTTTCTTGTTGCTCATTCACAAATGTTCAGCTGAGCAGGGAAAAAAGTCTCCACTGAAATCTGGGAAGATTTCACATACCAATTTACAAGTGCTGACAAGACAGCCCTACACACTTCATTTACGCCTTGATGAAGAAAAAGTTAAAACTACAAATCAGCTGCAAAACCAAAATTGTTCAAAATATTAATTCTGAAAGAACTGAACGAACCAGGAGACGGTATACATATGTCCTGGTAGTTTCAGAAAAATAACGGTTTGGGGTTTTCTTTTTAGTAGGAATGATATGAATAGAAAACCAGTGAATTATCAGTTTCCTGATTTTTGTTTGGGTTTTGCTCCCTTTATCTTTTTGCTGGCAGTGGTGGCGCACAGGGAAGGAGAATTTGATGCAAAGTGAAAGACTGACAAAAGGGCTTTTTCTTTCACTTGCCCTTTCCCGCTTTGTCACAGTGTCTAGACAATCTGAGTATAAAGACTGCTTGATTGTAGCCTCTTGTAAAATGTGACAGAGGGTGTTACATGCTCGCATCTTTTCAAGCCAAGTCCCTGAAAGTTGTCTGTTCCTGGCTCAAAGAAACCAACATCACGGGGAGTTGGCTAAATGTGAGAGAATACATGTATGCATGTACATGCTTAAAGTGATTTCAGCTAACTCAGGGGTTTCGTAGACAATAAATATAAACTCCATTCGGCATCGGCCTTTGTGTCAATGAATGGATTCCAAAAACTAATCTCCTTCAGCATCACAGAACAGGCTTTTAATATCCGAAAGTCTCATCTCCCTGCACGTCAGCATTTGGAGCTGTGGAAGGCTGGAGTTACCCAGCCAGCTCTGAGATCACCAAACAAAATCTGGAGCTGTTTTACACCAAATTCTCTAGAGACGAGCAGGCAACGTTGTTCATCCAACATGCTGCGCAACTTACGGTAAAGGAACAAGATTTTATTCCGTTTCCATTAGGAAAGGCAGCATTTCTCAGATGTGTGAGTTATGGGTCATGCAGCGTTCTCCTAATTTGACACTGGTATTGTTAAAAGGTATGTAACTAGCCTAATTAAAACAAACTTTTCTAATGCAAGCAAGTTGAATTTGTTTATTTTAAAGTTATGTTTTTATGGGCAATATAAAACATGTGTTTTCATGAAAACATAAAACATTTACATGGTTTTTGAGACTTCCTTAGAGACAAATGAAAATAACCATTATGTTATTTGTCTCCTTTCTTGTCCTTGTTATATTTCTTGGACTCCAACATTTATATTGCAAGCAATCCAACATCACCCTAACCAGAATAGTAGTTTCCTCCCACATGGTGCAAACATTATTTGACAAAGATATAAAATTAATTATATCATTATTAATTATTTTTATAACTATAGCACCTTAATTACTTTCAGTTAGGAAACAGATGAAGGCTAAGAAGATGTTATTAACACTGTTATTATTATCGTAAATCACCCTCCTTCAGTTTTTCTAGTGGGTTGTTAGTTCTCGATACAAAATGGAAGCCAAGACTGAAATACCCGCCAAAGCCAGACATCCGCTCCATTAACAGAAACAAAATCAGTTCTCTGTTAGCTAATCGAAACCTAGGAAAAGTCCAGTAGTACTAGGAAAAGTCCATTTTTCATACTTCTATTTTAAAGGGAAAAGTTCCAACATGTGATATTTGAAAAGCAAAAAGTATTGATAAGCCTTTGCTTAGTCTAGCTTCTGCAGTTGTAAAGCATCAGGAAAAGATGGATGGGAGGAAGTCTGGTGTAAATTCACTCCTTCAGAGCACCGGAATTTTTTCTGTAAGATTTTGCAACTCGCGGCTGAAACTCTGAATGAGAGTATCTCTTCAGAAACTGCTTTTTTGAGTATTGTAGAAAAAAGTGGATCCTTAAAAAGTTTGAGGGAGGGGTACAGGGAGATGCAGAGAGACACCAATCTATTCTGCACCCTCCTATCCATGCCATGGCCTTTGTCCTCCAACCCCTTGCCTGGGAAAAGAGACCACCATAGGAGAGGGTTCCAACCTACCAAAGAGACGGGGAGTGGGTTGAGACCCAGCAGGCTGCATTCTCCTTCCTCTCCATGGTTTTCTTTGGAATTAAATTTGACG